TTGGTTGGGTTGTTTTCTTATTGAGTTGTAAGAGCTCTTTATATATTTTGGAAATACATTCTCTATCAGATATATGTTTTGCAAACATTTGCTCTCAGTCAGTAGCTTGTCTTTTTTATATTTTTAACAATGTCTTTCTGAGAGCATAAATTAAATTTTTTTACCTTGCCTGATTGTACTGGTTAGAACCAGTATAGTAGAAGCAGCGTGTTCAATAGAAGCAGTGAGACTGACATCCTTTCTTTCCTGATTTTAAGAGGAAAGCATTCAGGCTTTCACCATTAAGTATAATGTTAGTTGTTTTTTACAGATGTCCTTGATCATAGCTTGAGGAAGTTTTTATATATTTTCAGTTTGAGAATTTTTACCATAAATGGGTATTAGATTTTGTCAGTAGCTTTTTTGTGTCTATTGAGGATTCGTATGATCTTGTCCTTAATTACATTAATTCAGGGTTTCTCTCCTTCAACACTATTGACATTTGGGGCCAGGCAGTTATTTCTTGTCTTGTGTGTTGTAGAATGTTTAGCAGCATCCCTTCCCTCTACATGCTAGATGCCAGGAGTATTCAGTCCCTATTCCCCAGTTGGGAACCACTGCATTAATTTTTTTTTTCCAATGTTAAAACAACTTTGAATTCATGGAAGAAATTGGACTTGTTTATGGCATATAATCTTTTTTTATATTGTTGGTTTTGTGTTGATTTTATTTTGTTAAGAATTTTTTCTCTGTTTCCATGAGGGATATTAATATGTTTTCTTTTTGTGTGATATCTTTGTCTAGCTTTGATATCAAGGTTATTCTGAGCTTCTAAAATAAGTTAGGAGAGTGTTTCCCTGTCTATTCTCTGAAAGAATTTTTATAGGATTGGTATTGTACCTTCCTTAACTGTTGATACTTTTCACCAGTGAAGCCATCTGAACCTGGGAAGATTGTTTAATTACTAATTCAATTTTTATTGACACAGTTCTGTTCTGATTTTGTTTCTTTAAAAGATCTCTTTTTTTTTGAAAATTTTCATATCACATAAATGATCTGATTTCCTGGCACAAATACTACATCATATTCTTTTGTAATTCTTGAATTTCTGTACAGTCTGTAGTGGTATTACCTCTCTTATTCTTAGTAATGGTCACTTGTATCTTCTCTCTTTTCTTATCAGTCTAGTTAAATTTTATCCAACTTTTGGTTTCATTTATTTTTCTCTGTATTTGTTTTCTATTTCATTGAATTCTTGACTTTTATTATTCTATTTGTATTTGGTTTGCTCCTTTCTAGCTAGTTGAGGTTAATGCTTAAGTTATTCTAGCTATTTCTCTTTTTCTAATATGAAATTTAAATTATACTTTAATCATTGCTTTAGCTATACTCTGTATATTTCAATATGTTGTGTTCTTATTGTCATGTAGTTAAAATTTTTTTCTAATTCTCAATTTCTCCTTTGACCTTTAGACTCTTTAGAGGCATGTTGTTTAATTTCCTAATATTGGGGAATTTTCCAGGCATTTTTTTCTCTTGATTTATATTTCCATTGTTGAAGAATTCTAATTCAGGAGTTTTAATATTAACATGTGAAAGACTGACTTAAAAAACCACCCATTCATACCTACCATCTGTTGGCCTTCCTCCTCCTCACTGATGGGTAGTACCTCAAGGTAGGAAACTAGGAGTTCTCAACTTCTTTTTCTGCACTACTCTAATTCTAGTTCACCAAAAATGTTGATTTGGCCCTTGAACATAGCCTGTCCTTTATGTCTACATTCCTACCACTGTAAATTTGGATCTCAATACTCAGTCATATATTAGCCTCCTGACTTGTATTTCTGTTACCAATGACATTCAGGATCTATAAGGACCTTTTGCCACTCAGTGTCTGTACTCATCACATGGTCTCTGTCATACTGGGCTTTGGCTGTAGTTCTTGCTTTTGCGTCTTACCTGTCCAGTTGGGGCATGACTGACTTACAGTTTTACAATGTGTCCAACATAGCTTAGCAGACTTTTCTGTATATTATTAATACAGTGGAATATGTTTGATTCATAGTATATATCCTTTTCTCATTCTCTTTCAACCTATACAATTGGTTTTAGAGTTTGAGGAAATTTCAGGGTATGGACTATATTTAGTAGTTGTAAATATATTTTGGTTTTTTGGTAGTAGATTATACAGGACTGGGCCCCATCAATCCCAGTAGATTAAATAAGGGGAATTTTATATAGAGAATTATTAACTGCTATAGAAGACTAATATAGAAGGAAACTGTATATGATTTGCTAGGGCTGAGGGAAAGTACCCAAGGAAAGACAAACTTGGAAAGGATTCAGATTTCATTCGAAGAGGGTCTGGTTCAGCCTACCAGCCCCAGAGAAGTTTCATGGTTAGGCCAAACTAGAGCTGGCTTGGAGCTGCCTGACAAGCAATTGACCACCCTCTGGAGTGTAGGAATTCAGGAATGGGGAGCTAGTGACTTGTAGTATGGTGTGCAGTGGCAGGAAGCTTCTAGATAGAATGTGTATGGGGCTTTTGGTTACCATATCAAGAGGACTGCAGAAAAGTTATTTCTAGACTAATGTTGCAAAGTCACAGAAGGACTGTGTTCTGGGCCCATGGCTGGGGTCAGCACCACCAGATGTTCTCACAGCCACCCCACCAACTCCAGCCTGCACCTGAAATCATTGGAGAGCCTCTTGTGCAACGTTCCCTCAGCACCCTCTGCTGAGAAAACTTAACATCATACTCACTTTACAGGAGAAATAGTTAGAAGATACTCTGTTGTTAGAACATATATTGAAGGGTGCATTTGGAGCTAAGAGGCAATAAAATGATAACTGACACACAAATGTAAAAGACTGAATGGTCGTTTGCAAGTTTAACCTCAACATTCATCATCTCTACCTCCAGTTTACTGGATGACCTGTCCTTTTAATTTTCAGTCTCTATGTAGAATCTTTTTTTTTTTTTTTTTTTTTTTTTTTTTTCTTGTTTATTGATCTACCTACGATAGTTTTCTGTCCTCCATTCCTTGGGATTTCTTCTTGTTTCTGGCTCATCTCATCCTCTAACAACACTATTTCTTCTAGTCTCCCCACTTAGAAGTAGGCTTTCTGAATATTCTTTTCTTTCCCATTTCCCTGGTAGCTGCTTTCCTTTTTAAAAATCATTTTTGGTCTCTCTAATTTGTCTTTTGGTCTCTATGTGATTTTCTCATTAGCACTTGGTTCCAACTCACTTCTCCAATCTCTCTGGAGATCGGATATTATAGGAATCATTTCTAATCTGCCCTGGGAATTTTTTTATTTTTAAAATTGTCAAAATTTTAATATGCTGCCTTCCTTATACACATTTTAGCATAGGTCAAGCTGGTTTTGGCAGTGGTGGGGGGGGTGTTTTGTCACACACATACACTATGATGTTGAATTCAAAGCAGTCTTTCACTATGTAACAGAAGTTAGTCTGATAATATCTTTTAAGTGCTGTAAACCAGGAATGTTTCCTTCTTCTTTCCCTCCTTTCATTGTGTGTGTGTGTGTGTGTGCGCGCGCGCGCTTTACAATTCCCCCAAAGATTACATGTCACCTATAGTTTGTTTTAATATATTAGTAGAGGCTCATTTTAAAAGTAAATTCCTTGAAATTAGGTATGTAGAATATAGTATTAACTATTTGAACTTCCTATCAGAACATGGAGATAACTCTTTTAATCAGAATTGCTTGTAATGGGACTTAGGCTTATCATGTCTTTAGAATATTCGATTTGTTTTTTAAAGATGACTCTTTACCCTTGGCATAAATAACTATTTAGAACTTGTGTTTTTGAAACTTAAAATTCAGTTTTCTGGGGCACCTGGCCGCGCAGTTAAATGTCCAACTCTTGATCTCAGCTCAAGTCATATCTCACAGTTCATGAGTTCGAGCCATGTATTGGGCTCTGCACTGATGGCACAGAGCCTGCTTGGGATTCTGTCTTTCCTTTTTTCTGTCCCACCCCCACTTGTGTATGTGTTGCATGTGCTCTCTCTCTCTCTCTCAAAATAAACTCAAAAAAATTTTTTTTAATTTAGTTTTCTGAACCAAACTGTTATTTTCAGACGAACATACAAATTTATCTGGGAATTATTTCTTTGGTTAGTTTTTTGTTGTTCTTTGTTTTTGTTTTGTTTTGTTTTGTTTTAGACAGTAGAGATGTTATTTTTTTGAAACTTTCATCGATTGCAGGTTGTCTTTCTGGTTCAGAGTGATTGAGAATTTTACTGACATATCCTAGAAATTTCTTTAGGAATATCAATATCTTGAAGATATAGATAATTATTTATTGATTATTGGGTTTTTTTAATGTTTATTTATTTTGAGAGAGAGTGTGTATGTGAGAGGGGGAAGGACAGAGAGAGGGAGAAGATCCAAAAAGGCTCCACATTCATGGTGGAGCCCTACATGGGGCTTGATCTCACAACAGTGAGATCATGACCTGAAATGAAATCAAGAGTCGGATGCTTAACCAGCTGAGCCACCCAGACACCCCAATTTTTATTAATTGTTGATATTGGTTATGGTATCTGAAAATTTCTAGATGATAGGTTTTCAAAAATGGATGCTTATAATTAGAATTCTATACAAGATGTATATATTCAAATGAAAAATTACAGATTAAGAAGACCAACTATGTAAAAATGTAGTTCTGCTGAACAAATTATTTAGTTAAAATTTAATTTGTTGATGTTAATCATTTTAAAATAGAAAATAAAGCAAATAGGAAAATATAATTTTTTTTAAGATGATTGTTTTTACTGAAAACTGCGTAACAACAACAGAAAAATCAAGGCTATTTATAAAATGTCTGACTGTTGCCTGGTGTTCTAAATGCATATCTTAAGTGGATCTGAATATCTGAATAAAACCTCTGTACTTTTTTAATAACTTTGGCTTTTTGTAGTACAAGCTTACTAAATATTTAACTTTTTTTTTCCATCAGGAACATTGATAAACATTTGCTTGTTTTTTAGGTAAAATCTGTAAAAACTGGGTCAGTTTTTTGGACGATGTGCTGCTGCTTATCATATTTCTATATGGTAAGAATTCATTATTGAAATTATAGGAGGTCTGGCAAGTCTTTCACAGTTAGACCAATTCCTCGTCTTCATCATTTTCTTCTCATCCAGACTAGTTCTCCACTTCCTTTTTTCCTAAAATCTTTGGATTTTAATTTTGTTTAATATAGTCCCCTTCATTACTGCTATCCTCTTCCCTACCCCCATCTCTGGAGTATGTATGGACTTTGCTTTAGTGGGGAGGGCTAATAAATGCCAATCCCTCAAATACAATATTTGCAGCAAGTGAAACAATTTTTCTTTTCAGATGTACAACTTTACCTAAATAATGGTGCTATCCTCTAGGTAAACTACCTAAGTACTTTTTTCAACAGATTACTTAGGTTGGGGTTCAGAATTAACCTCTTCATTCTCCTGCCTTTTTTCCCACACCACAGACTATCATCTAGTAGTCTTGTGCTGAAAACTAGTGATAATTTTAGGTAAGGTTTTGTTTGTTTGTTTTTGAACACATAGCATGGAATTTGTGCATCCAAATTGTCCATGCCCCTTTTAAAGTGGTTAAGGCCAGGCACATTCTGTGCGCTTGTACCCAAGTAATAGAAAACTCATTCTCTTTGAAGTTTACATTTAAATTTTGGAGGTAATTCAAAGTCCTTCACTTAGAACCCCTGCTCAATCAGAGTAACATTGTTTTTGGTGTAAAATAGCATGTCAGTGAAGCAGTAAACATGTTCTTTATTGTATACCGAAGGCAGTTCATTACAAGTGGTTCTGAAATATTTTAGGTATGGGCAGCATTGTTAGAATGTATATATTAACATCTAGTGTCTTACTGTGTCTATTGGTCAAATGGTTCTTTCAAGCTTTTGATTATTAATGTACACCCACAACTTTGTTCTTGACAAGAGCTTATTGCCTATTGAATATACTAAAAAAAGTAATACTGTTGGTCAAAAATAAACATTATCTTTACCGAAACAGAGCCAGCTGGTAGAGCATGTAACTCTTGATCTCAGGGTTGTGAGTTCAAGCCCCACATTGGGCATATAGCTTACTTAAAAAAAAAAAAAAAAAAAAAAAAAAAAAAAAAAAAAAAAAAAAAAAAAAAAAAAAAATTTAAAGAACCATACAAAAAAAAATTAGACCAGAACATACTCCGTTATTCTGATAGAACAGTCTAACTTTATGATACATGCTAAACATTAAAATGGAATCTTGATTTGTAATCCATTAGTATGAAATAATTTATACTTAAGGTAGTACCTTTTATTTTGAGTATCTTGAAGCATATCTAGATTATCCGAGAGTTCCTTATAGTTCAGTTGTTGGCTGGTGCTAAACATTCATTGTTCTTATTCTCAGTGAAGCTTCTTGCAATGTAGTTATCAAAAGTGAGGGAAGTAAAAGCCTTTCTTTTCCCTTTTAAAAATTTATGATCTGTATCTTAAGAATCCTCACCTTTATGACAGACTTTTTACTACCAATTCAAAATTATAATGTTCTCAGTGTTATTAAGTTTAATCTGACCATTTCTCCAGTGAATATAGAAAAGCATGTTGGATTTATGGGATTATTATTTTAATAATACATAGAAATAGGTTGTATGTAGGCTTCATAAATCAATTTTAAGCATCTGTCACACTTGCTAAAAATCCTAGTGTTTGTTTATATTTGTTCATTATATGTTTAGATTGTCATGACAAATAAAACTGAATCTATTTTTAAAAGCAGACATCTTAAATTATTTAACTTTGCATTTCTTAATCCGTAGGTCTCTGCTTGGGGTGGTTATGTGTTTATCATCAACCTTATTCCACTGCATGTATTTGTGCTGTTACTGATGCAGAGATACAGCAAAAGAGTCTACATAGGTGAGTGATTTGACATTTGAAATCTCACCTCTAAGAGATGTTTCATTGAACAGCCATACATTTTCATTGAACAGCCATTTCTGTTTGGCTGTATTACTCATAAGAAGGTGAAAATAATTTCATATATATTTTTTTGTTTTTTTGTATCAATAAGGTGGGTCAGGCACTTTTACGTATATACATTGTTACCAACTTCTTGATGAGTTTTTGCTGTTGTAAAAATTAGTCTACAGATACTAGATTTAATATCTGTCAGCCCAGTTTTTCCTTAACTTGGGGGAATGGGTATTCTGTCTTGAAAATCATTCACATATGGGGCACCTGGGTGGCTCAGTCGGTTAAGCGTCTGACTTCGGCTCAAGTCATGATCTCGCAGTTTGTGAGTTCGAGCCCCACATCAGGCTCTGTGCTGACAGCTCGGAGCTGGAGCCTACTTCAGATTCTGTGTCTCCCCCTCTCTCTACCCCTCCCCTGCTCACGCTCTGTGTGTCTCTGTCTCTCAATAATAAATAAACGTTAAAAAAAAAAAAAACTAAAAAAGGAAAAGAAAATCATTCACATATGCATATTATTCAAATTCAGCACAGTCACTGTAAGAGTAAACAGTTTAATAAACTTTTGAAAACCTTTTCTGTATAATATACGACAGAGTACCTTCGTCCATTTGGGCTGCTAAAACAAAATACCACAGGCTAGATAGCATGTAAACAACAGAAATTTCTCACAGTTCTGGAGGCTGCAAAGTCCCAGATTAAGGTAACAGAATGGTCACGTTTTTGTAAGGGCTCCCTTCCTAGTTCATAGCTGGTACCTTTTTGCTTTGTCCTTACATTGTAGAAGGGAGAAACTAGTTCTCTGGACCTCTTTTAAAAGGTTACTAATCCCCAAAGCCCTTACTCCCTTACTACCTCCCAAATGCCACCTCATAATACTGATACATTGGCCATTAGGTTTTAAACTTGCGACTTTTGGGAAGGTGAACATTCAGACGAACCTGTTTTCTATGAAATCTTTATTTTTTTTCTCTAGGTTTTAAAACATATCTTTTGAATAAGATGCTTAGTGATAGATGTTGTCTCAAATCGTAGAGCTCATTATCCATGATAGAGACAGAACCTTTATAGGTTGAATTAGTAAGAGAGAAGTTGTGGTTTGAACCCAATGTCTTAGTAAAATAATACAATTCCAGTATGACAATGTTGTTGGAAAGCAGTAACAGAAAGATAAAGCTTCTTTACTTACCTAAAAAAACAAAATCAAACAACAGAGGGGTGCCTGGGTGGCTCAGTCGGTTAAGCGTCCGACTTCGGCTCAGGTCATGATCTCACAGTCCATGAGTTCGAGCCCCGCGTCGGGCTCTGTGCTGACAGCTCAGAGCCTGGAGCCTGCCTCATATTCTGTGTCTCCCTCTCTCTCTGCCCCTCCTCTGGTCATGCTCTGTCTCTCTCTGTCTCAAAAATAAATTTAAAAAAAACATTTAAAAAAATTTAAAAAAAAATTTAAAAAAACAACAAAATAAACCCAGTAGTCTGGCAATTCCTCAAAAACTTAATCGGAGAGTTGCCCTGTGACCCAGTAATTCCACTCCCAGGTATACCCCCAAGAGAATTGACAGTAACTGTTCACACAGAAACATGTACACTGTTGTACGTTGCAATATTTATTATCCCTAATAGCCAAAAAGTGAAGACACCCCAAATGTCCACCAACTGATGGATAAATAAAGTGTGTATATTCATATAGTAGAATATTATTTAGCCGTAAGAAGGAATGAAGTACCGGTATGTTGTGAAGCTTGAAAACATTATGCTAAGTAAAATAAGCCAGACACTTAAGCCCATGTATAATTGTAGGATTCTTTTTGTATGAAATGTTCAGAATAGACTAATCCTTAGAGACAGAAAGTAAATAGGTTTAGTGGTTGCCAGAGGTTTGGGGAATGGAAGAGTGACTGCTAATGGGAATGAGGTTTCTTTGGGGATGAGGAAGTGTTCTGGAATTAGATAGTGGTAATAAATACACAACTTTATGACTATAATAAGAAAAAGCACTCTATGGCATATTTAAAAGGGTGAATTATATAGGGTGTATACCATATCAATTTAAAAAGTTCATATATAGTCATTTCAGCATACTTTATAAGTCACCACTGAAATAATATATTATCAAGTGCTTATTTGATACCACAGACTAAGTTGTTTACATGTATTTAACTCATTTAATTTTCATAACCACATTGTGAGAGAGTAGTGTAGGTACTGTTACTGTCCTTATTTTACAGATGAGGAAGCAAAAAAGGACATAATTTGCTCAAGACCATGTGATTTAGGCCTGAACTTAGAAGTTTTGGCTCCATAGCCCATGATGCTACAAATTACTATTTCTATTAAAACTGTATGCCTACCATGTAAATAAATACCTTACTGTTGAAATACATTAGCCTGTGATATATCTCTACGCTGAAAACACTGTAAACAGTCTTTAGGATCCAGAAAGGAGAATGATAGGTTAAACTTCAAGTCTCAACTTTTAGTTTTAGAGATATGTAAGTAGAGAAATTTTTTAAGTTAAATGTAATAGGGGAGGAACTAAAATTTTGTTTAATTTAAAAACTTCTGGGTCTTGAAAATTTAATGGTCAGGGGAATAGAGTGGGGAGCAGATTGAGGCATAGACTTGTGAAATGTCCCTGAATCAGGAAGAGGAAGAAGAGCCAAAATAGAAGGAGCTAGATACATACATTGTTAAAGAGGTCAGTCAAATGAAAGGATTTTCTACATAAAAGTTGAAAACATGAACAGTGTCCAACTTCCCTTGAGTGTTAGTACTAAGATCTAGTAGGGTGAGAATTAAGGAAGGACCTTGTATTTGGCAAATAGGATTTCTGTGGTAACTTTACAAAAAGTACGCAATTAATACTGCTTTGGTTGGCTCTTGAAAATGTTTCTTCTTTTCAGAGGGAAGAAAACTAAAGTAGTTCAGGGATATTATATGTATGTGTGAAGTTAGATTAGTAAACACCTCAGATAATTTTGTAGTGTTGAGATTCTCTACCCCCACCTTCCTTGTTTTATAGCTTATTCCATTCATACGATTAAGGGTATTTTAGGTGATTTGTATACTCTTTCATAGTTTACTTTTAAATGGATGGGAAATGATGGTATCGAAAAATCAGCTATTCTCTACTTTATCCCAAATGTATCAAGATTTAAGTTCAATTTAACCTAACTTAATGGGCCTGGAATATTTGAAGGCATTATAAAGCTACATACAGAGGTTTGTCCTCTGATTTTATCAGGTAACATCCTTTGTCTGTAGTTCTCTCTCCTCATGAGCAGAACCATTTAGATAAAGAAAATAATGATTGATAAATAGCAAACTCATAATCATATAAACCAAATATTTGATTGGGTTCTTAGTATCAAATTAAATGAAGTAAAAATGAATCATTTGAAATAATTATGAAAAATGGTTTTCCCTTTGAGTAGATTTTTTGCACGTGTCTTTAGAATCCGTTGGTAAGCCAGGGAAAACTCAAAAGTTTGTTCACATGTGGAAAGAGGGGCACATGGAAGATAATGTGGATGTACAGGGTATGTGTGGCACAGGAGTGGGGGGTTGAGGGGCAAGGGAAAAGAAAAGCCCCTTGAAATTTATGTGGGAAGAAAGTTAAATTATTTTGTGAAGATATATTTTGTACTTGGTGTATTCACCATATTGGGAAGTGAATTACACACAGTTATGTCACAAATAGGATTCTGATGTTTTAATAAGAAGAAAGAACACCCATATCTTAATTTGCATTTACAGAGAGAGTGGTTTACAGGTATCGCATAACACTAATGGATGTAAAATCATTTAACCTTTAGAAATGTTTAATCACACTTTACATAGTAAAGAAATTATTAAAGATATGAAGACATGTTTAGCAGTGTTCATTATGGTGTTACTTATAATTGAAAATAGTTTAAATGTCCAATAGAGAAATTTTAATTTTTAAGTTACACTTAAATTGTAGTGTTGCTAAATCATGAAATATTATGGCATCATTAAATGTAATCTTTTTTGGTATTTGGTGAGTTAGGAAAAAGTTAATAAAAAGCAGACAGCAAGGATTACTAGTGATACTTTTTCTTCATATTTTTCTCTGCTTTCCAAATTTTCTACAATGAGCATGTACTAAATTCATAATAAATGAGACTTCTTCATTTATAGAAATGTGAGTTTTATCTCATGGTTTATTAGAATTAAAATTTTAAATTAGAATAACTTAAAGAGCAGGAAGAAACTAGTTTCTAGTATTGATAAGTGATTTTTAAATGTCACTGAAGAATTTGCTTATTGTGTGTGTTCTTTCGTTGAGGTCATTTGAGTAAGAAGAGAGTAACAGAATCACTTTTTATATTATATCTAAACTACATTTTTATGGTAATATTTGCTGGTGGAACCATCGTGTAAAGAGCAAAGTATTATAGACATATACCACATACTTTAGTTCTGTACAAATTGTTCTAGGATTGTAGAGTTTGTGAGTGAAGAAAAGACAATCCTGCTATTGAATGAATTATAAAGAAAACCAGAGGGGTCCCTGGCTGTGTCAGTCCGTAGAACATGTGACTCTTGATCTTGGGGTCATGAGTTAAAGCCCCATATTGGGCATAGAGCTTATTTTAAAAACTTTCTTAATTTAAAAAAAATATTTTTTTAAGTAAAACCAATAAATTTTAGGCATCATGTTTATACTTGCCATACATAAACAAAACATATCTAATGCTACACAACAACAGACGTAAAAATTGCATGTAAAAATTCTACAAGCACGTAAAAAGCTTGGAAGCACTAGAATTTAGTTTGCCTAATTTTACCTTTTCTTTCTTTCCTTTTTTTTTTTTTTTTTTTTTTTTTTTTTTTTTTTTTTTTTTTTGAGGAGCAAATCAGTTCAGTAGAGGATTAAATGTTTAATAGTTTTGTGCTAGCCATTAGGATGCATAGATGATCAAA